GTCGCTAGTCCATTCTTTAGTGTAGTTTGCCATGTCTTACAGTCTTATTCGGAGTTTCCCAGGACTTGTAGTTGACGTTGAGAAACTTGAGTGGTGTCTTCAGCATGGCCTTTTGACATTTTCCACCGCGTCGGCAAATGCCCGAATAGACATCGCCGGAATGCAATCGCGTTGCGTGACAGTCAATATTAATCATGACGTTGCGACTTAGTCCAGGCAGCTTTTTCCACAGCAATGCAAAGATGCCGGACATGCCAGCTGGCCCCATGACTTGAGTGTGGGAGATCCGTTCTGGGCATGTTGCTTCCGGTATCCTTCGGAGGAAACTTACTTGAAAGTTGTTGAGCTTCCGCGCCTGGTTTCGGTAAATTTTCGAAATCTTCATGCCGTAGAGGTGCGCCATCCCACACACCTTCAGTTTCGCGTTGACGACGATGGTGTAATGCAGTCTGACTGACTGGTATGCAATTAATAAATATTCATGTGACTGGATGGAAAAAACAAAAAATGGCGGCTCAATTTCAAAAGCCCGCCGAGGCTCAACGATTCTGCATTCCATAATCTGCACACGCTCCACTCTGGCGCTTGTTCTCCAGGCGAGATCTTGTCTGCTCTCGGCGTAGTTCAGGATTGCGGTATGCCAACCCATCTGGTACTGTCTCCTGAGGTCGTTTTCACGGTTTAGTTTGCGACCTTATCTACGAGTCGACTAGGTTGTGATTGGCATGTCATAAGTACGCCACGCCGTTCCCCCTTCCCTAGTAAGCACACAGTTCAGCAGTTTCCAGTGACATGAACGAAGGTGCATCTATGTTGTCTTTTTGAGTCGAGAAGACAAAAGACGGTGAAGATGACGGGCGGATTGTGTTCTGCCCAAGTCTTCGACAGAAGTAACATTTGAATTTGGTCTGATTTCCAAGAGTTTAGCCAACGTTAAAAGATTTACAAGTTCGGACTATCTGTCCGGCGATCGCTGCTTTTACACCGTGATGTCTTGTTACTGTGCCTTCAGAAACTTTCTTGCAAATTAACCTGCGATTTTGTGTTTCACTCTAGCAACTCTGTCGCTCGCAAGTCAAAGAAGTGAAGTCACAACGGAGTTCTCACGATGTCTTTCTGAGCTGCACTGTCATGGGTTCTGCATATACTTCAATCTTGATTTTCGCTGACGTTTATTTCCCCCTCACCTTAACAGGCCTCTTGTCCACTTTGAACTTGAATCAGTGCTCTCTCTACTGTCTACAGCTATTTTAACAAGAGTATTTTGAACTCCAAATGAGCGTTTTTTAAAGTTTCTTAATCATTGTTTCACTGAATTGAGCACAAATATTTTAAGAAATACCTAAATTTCCCACACGGGAATTTCACCTGATTCCTTTTATTACAAATTCTCTGTTGCATAGGTAAGTTGTTTCATCTGAATGTCCATAATAAGTTACTCAGGGAGAACGCGCGTCGCTTTCACCAGAACACGGTATTCAGACGGGAGTAGAGAAAAGATGACGTCAAGGAGCTATTAACGGTTAGGATAATCAACTCCACTCGTTGTAATCCAGCCGAAAGCAGACTAAGGTGTCGTTCCACAGTGGACTCTGCGCTGTAGATCTAGTGCTGACTGCCCCTCGCACTGTTCTGAACTATTATCTGCGCGCATCTAGAGTTGTCTGCTGAACGACGTCCGTTATTCGTATACGCGCAGGTTCTTGGATTCCCTTAGGACCTTTTTGGCGGAACTGGATCAAATGCACATATTTTATCTGCCGCATTATTTGTTCTAATGTCCAACTAGACGTAGTTTTCAATTAAGGTGATTTAGCGTGATTTTGCGATCATTCTGTAAATGGTGTTGTACTTATCTTAACAAGTGTGCTCCTTTTGGCTCTAGGTTGCTACCTGCAAGTTTATATAAACCGTAGTAATTTGGAATAGGAGGCGTAGGCGTGACGCCGAAGGTCTCGTGTTGCCTGGTCTAAACAGAACCCCAATGCATGCGAAAGGGCCCTTTATCGGATCTTACTGTCACGTGCGCTGGCGTCATGCGGTTAGCACGGCTAGGTAAACACTGCGTGGGTTTGCAAGCCAGCTATGTCGAGCACTAACTCGGGTCGCGAGGCCGTCAGTCGAAAAGAAGAAGGGTTTTTGTGCTCAGAGCTTCCATGGCCGCGCAATGGAATACAAATAACACGTGTAGGCGGTGTCTCACCGATCGCATTGGCTGAGGCAACGCTCTGCGTTTTGTTTTGCAGCTCCGAGCTAAGCCCTCGTTGGCTAAAAGGAAGCAAAATGGAATGGAAATGTGTGGACTTTATCAGCCGGTCGTACCTCAGGCCGGGGAGGCCTCTGCTTTGGACCGGGGCATTTGATTCAAGCGACCCCCCACTCGAACACGTGTGCTGCACCATAACATAGTGCTGCGGGTGCTCTTCCGTTAAGCGTTCCTCCGTCTGCATTACATTCTGAGATTTGAGTGGAGTCCACTTGAAAGAAAGCAGGTGCTCATCTTGCAAAAGTCTTGCACAAGAGTTTGTTCGCTCACCTCAGGAGCTATAGATGATCTTGATCTACGACGAAAATTTGGAGTTCGGGGCGCCGTGGAAGTCGTTCAATGTTCAGTAAGACCACTTTATACATGGTCGGGAAGGGCCACTGCCTGGAATCCCATTAAAGGCCCCTGATCTGAGGACGGAACGACGGCGAAGTGCGCATACTACTTCTAAGTCAAACGCCGCTGCAACACAGACACTACGTATTTCTGCGCGAAAATAGGATGATGTGTCAGCTTGTTAATCAGGCACCTTCCGAGACGGTGGTTCATTGCAACTAGTAAAGCAATTAATGCGCTTTATATGCCACAAACAGGGTCGAGTCGAAGTTTGTAAGTAACGGAAAGACACCAGAATAAATTTATTCTATTCAGAGTCCCCAATCGTCCTCGTCTAGGCAGCAGTGTGGGATCCGAGCCAGGCGTTGGCAGCACGCCCAGGTGCGGCTTCGGCCGTGCCAGCCTCCAAATCTCTGTTGTGTTGGTTGAAATCCTGGTCATTTGTTGTGTGGACCAGGGGGTGTGGTGGAACGCTAAGGTGAGGATCCGTCCGAGCCATCCACCTGCGGCCTCTCTCGTCCCCGGTCTTCTTGACTCTGTCTTGACACCGGGCTCGGGCGAGGGAGGAAGAGAGAGTGTAGGTAGATGCTACGCAAGTCCACCGGCACTATAAACCCCCGCGTAAGTCACCGTCCCTGCTCCCATTGCTGCTGCAACAGTGGGGCACACGGTGGACATCATCGAAACCGATGGTCGAACTGTCACTTGTCTGCGACTGAGCGAGGAGAGGGGGAGGTTCGTGTACGTCCGTGTTAAATTTGCCCGAATTGACACTGTTTCAGGTGAGGCCTAGTGGCAGATCGATGCGTCTGGACTCACGACGTGGCCGTGTCAGCGCAGGCACCTGTGTGCCACGAACAAAACAGCAGGCGCGTCATGGTGGCGCCTGGGTAGAAGACCGAAATTTCATAAATTGTCTGTGAATCATTCCAATTTCACACCGGAGAATCCCTAGCGTCTTTCTGTGTGGACGCCTCCTCAAAGACTTGGTTTTAAGTGACCCGTCTTTTCTGTCTTGAAACATAGTCGGTAAGACACGGAGATAGAAGCCCCCATATCCCAGGGTTCTTGCGTTAATCTCTAGGGTGATTCGGGTCAGGGTTAGAACACAAGAATCTCTACTCATCCTGGGGTTTTGCGCGAGGCCGATTTTATTAATGAGAGCGGGCGGGGTCCTGTAAGCGTGTCCTGTTCATGCCAAATGACCAGTACAGTGTTTGGATGTCCGCGGGACGATAGCATGTTTACGCGGGATCTGAGTGCACGCGCAGACGAAGGGCATTTTATGGTATCAAACAAATTACCACGGATAGAATAACAGTCGAAGTGATTCC